TACTTTATAATTAATTCCAAAATCTTATTGTAAAAGTTTCAATATTTCAATTTTATCTGGATCCTTAGTCTGTTTATAACTTTCTAAAATCAAAATCATATTTAGCTTTTTGATGTTTATCAAACCCACGGAAAACCACTGTCCTGCGGTCTTCTTGTGAGGAGCACCCGTCTGGAGCACATGTAGGTGATCTTCCATCCTCTCCTTATCTGGAGAGGGTCCAAGGAACTGATCTACTGACTGGCTCCTTGGTCTATGCTGCGGTCGTCAGCTCCATTTTCGCAGAGCCATCTTCATTTTGCCATACCTCCCCTGGAAGTCCCCCAAATATATGCCTACTTTCTGATAATTTCCAGTTCATTTATTTTAAAAGCTATTTAATGTCATTGCCCTATTATACATCAATAACATTTATAATCTATAAAATCATTGCAGTTTCTCACTGTAATTGTGTCTGTCATTTATATTCACAGGGTATTAGAATTAATAATCTATTTCAATAAAACTTAATATTTTCTCAGTTTTCACAATTGCTTTTCTAATTGTAGTAGTCTTATCCTCAATTAGTGCTGCAACTAATTAAAGATTCGATATTGATTCTTTATATAATGAAACAAAACAGATATTGCGAATATTCTCAATATACCCTGCTGTTTGGAATCTGAGGCTATCCGTATGCTTTTGTCATTTTATGCAGTTTGGGTAAATAATATGTTAGTGTTACATCTGTCCCTGTTTTTACGAACACTAAGTAGGAGAACTGCTTGTTCTGGTTGCTTAATCTCATAATGTTAAGAAGAAAAGCCACTACCAATCTTGTATTTAGAGGTACTTTCCTGTTTCCCTCTAACACAGCCATGAGTAACAGTATAGAAGCTTTTGCTTCTGTTTTTGAGTGACCAGATCAGCCCTAAATCCTGACTCACATTTTGAAGCTAGCTGATTTCAACAGCCCATAATTGAGATTAACCATAGTTTATCTACAAGTCTTGACAAATTAGTGAAAATTTCGAAATTTTTCCACATTGCTCCTTCAGAGATAGAGTGGCCTGGATGGGCCTGAGGTTCGACAGCTTCTAAATCCTGGCCTGGTGCTATATATTAGGTGCTATATATATTCCTGTAGCTTAAAAAGGGTGAAAAGAAAAGGTAAGTATATTGTAGGCAAAATCTTTGTAGTTTTTTTTTTAAAGAGCAAATACATGTAAATCACATTTGAGTAATTCAAAGTGGAATGAAGTATTGCATTTAAAATGTCTGTTCCAATATTCTCTTGAATGAAAAAAAACCATTGTATTCTTCAGAGCTAATAATTCATTAACGTGCAGATTTAAAGTCAAATAAAAACTGATGTGATTACTGGGGTTGTTAAAATAGGATTTTGCATAAACTATTTTTTAAATCCAGAACAAATCCAGGAACATGATGGATATGTGTTTTGTACTTCCTTCAATACTAAAATTGGACGTGATAATATAAATAGTTTTAACATAGGAGCAGAGTTTCTATATATAGGAAGCGGTTAAACATTTTAGGTGTTCCAAATTAATAATACCTTCACAAACAGGTTGAAAATAAAATGGATAAAGAAGAGACAAAGTCAGGGAAAATTTTAGAGGTGGATTCAGAGGGGAGTGTTAAATCTTTCCTCTTATATTACTGAATTAAAATGTTTCCTTGAGGTTAATGTTTTCACTCTGACTGGGCTCATAGACCATACTAAGCTGTGGTTTGTTTTAATTGTAAGTTCTTGGATAAACCACTGAGTTCACATAACACTAACTCCAAACAAATCACTTGTAGCTTCCCACGATGTGACTTGTCCTAATTTAATCCTTTATTCTTTCCCTTCTGTATTCTTTCTCTTCCTGTAAAATGAGTCTTGCCTTTGTTCAAACTGCTAGCCTATTCAACTAAATTTTTCTAGACCATTAAATTAATAAATAAATGTCATCTTTTGGTGAAAAAAATGAATAGTTTGCTTTTAAATGGAAATAAGTAAAAAAAAAAGCTTTTAAAGTTTAGTCTTTCTTTCTTTAAGGCATTGAAAGTACGGCAAGCAGACATTACTCGAGAAACCGTACAGAAAAGTGTATGTGTTCTAAGTCAGCTGGTAAGAGATAAGATAACTTACATAGAAACAGTTTGTTTTGGGATGTTTTATATTAGATTTGAATGGGTGCATGAACTGAAATCTGAGTCAAAGATATCCTTTCCAGATGGTTTGTCCAACAGAGAAAAATACTCTATATAAGCACTTAAATAAGAGCAACCCAATTGCATATACCCCATACTATAGTATTTTTTAACATTAGCGTATTGTGATATAGGGCACATAACATTACTGAAGTTCATAGTGCTTTAAAGTCTTTTTTCAACCATAAGTTCCACTCATGATACACATGTGGAACTAAATGTAGAGAATGACATACTCAATTCCTGGTCCCAGTTTCAAGGAAAAGAAGAATATCATTCTGTAAAGAGTACATTACCTTTCAGGCCTTTCTCAACAGGTCTGTTTAAAGGGCATTTGATATAAAAACAGTTGGGTGTGAAATTATGTTTAAAAGATGTATATGATGTTTGGTTCAGAATATGAAGAAATTGTTTATGAAGTGATTAATCTGAAACATAGAACTTGGAACTGGTCTCTTGTTTTCTTCTTGTTTTGTCCTTCCTACAACCCTTCTCAGCTTGGTGAGGTAGGTTAGACTGAAAAGTATGGTGAATAGAGATGGTGCAGGTACTATACAAGCCTAGGAAAAGGCCCCTTCTGAAGAGCTTATCAGCTTCAGATCTGAATAGCTACACAGGACTAATAGGAGGTGGGTTAGACTGCGAGATAGCCCAGAACTACCCAATGAGCTTCTCAACTAATTGGCATTTAAATACATGTCTCCCTAGTCCTAGGCCAATTTGCTAATGTTTGACAATACCAGTTCTTTAATGAAATAGGATAAGATACCTTGCCCATATTTTACTATCCAATGTTTTGAATAAAAGCACATTCAGAAAAAAATACAGATCTATGCACAGTTGGAACCAGTGTTCTCTTTGAAACCTGGATGTTACTGTATAGAATAACTGATCATGCCAATACATTTTCATAAATCAGCTGTAACCTAATACGATATATGGCTTGGAGAATATGCAGAATATTCAGATTATACAAATTCATCTGTATTTAATGAATAGATCCTACTGTTTTTAGCTGCTTGTCTGTATTTTTTGATATAACATGATACTCTTTTTCTTGCAAGCCTCTATATGGGCTACTCCAAGCTAAGTTGCAGCTAATTACACATGCCTACTTTGAAGAGAAAGACTTCTCACAAATTTCAATTCTTAAGGTATGCTTTTAATACATAAAAGTAAGATTTTTTGGAAGGTTACAAATACTTGGGTTAATACGGAGTCATTATAAATGTGGGATTGGCCTACAAATAATAGGAGGGAGATGGATGGATGGATGGATGGATGGATGGATGGATGGATGGATGGATGGATAGATAGATAGATAGATAGATAGATAGATAGATAGATAGATAGATAGAGTTCAGCCAGATTAAAAGTAGAATGGGAGAGCCAATGCTGATAGAAGAGTAACTACGCTTATTGGAGTCCATAGCCAGAATAGAAAGGATGGATCAGCTCAGTGACATTCTTTCCAATACAGGTAGTCCTCATTTAATGACCATTCATTCAGGGACTGTTTAGTTAGAACGGCGCTGAACGAATGCTAGTTATGCCCCCACAGCTGTTGTAGGGCCCTCGCAGTCACGTGATCAAAATTTGGGCACTTGGCAGCCTCCCCACACTTATGACCACAGGGGCACTTTAACTCCCCCCATCTGCCTATCTTTCCCCCACATCTCTGCCCTTCTGGCTGCCCTGCACTCTGCTACCTCTGCCAGCCCTCCTGCCCTGCTCTGTGCTGCCCTGTACTTCGTGGCCCTTGTCCAAATTGAAAGCCTCAAGAGAAGGCCGCACGTGATTTGGACAAGGGCATGTGTGGCCTCGGGAAGAAGGCCTAGCCTGGCCAGCAGCTGCCTTGTGAAGGGCCAGGCCAGACACACCCTGTCAGCAGCGGGAGGAAGAAGATGGGAAAGGTCAGCTGGGAGTGGCAGGGCCAGTGGAGCCCTGATGAGATGTTTCTCCTGAATGTTAGTTTCCTCTTATCTGTTATCTTATCTGCAAAAGGGAAATTCTAGATCCAACCTGGTGTAGACAGCTAGTAAGCTAGAAGGCAGTTTCTAGCAGGAATCTGATAACCAGATCTGCATACATAAGGAAGTGTTGTTCTTTGCTTTCTGAAAGAGTACTCCCTCTAAGCGCTGCTGGAAACTTTTTATGTGACATGATTTTCAAAAGCTATTTGTAGAATTTATTTGCAGAATAGCAATACTGAACACAAAATCTTTGCAAAATTCCATTAAAGCTGAATCTAAAGCAGTTCTTTGGACCCCAGAATTCTGTTGGATGGATAACTATGTCTTTAGAGACTTAAATAACGTTAGACCTCTTGGAAATTGTATTTGGTAGATTTTTGCTATATAAATTGGACCTTTTCCTATTTTCCCTGTAGTTACTCTTAGAAAAGGATGTTCATGCTTTCTACATTTTATGGCTTTTCAGGAACTTTATGAACACATGAATAGCTCATTGGGAGGGAGCTCACTGGAAGGGTCACAAGTTTATCTTGGTAAGCTATATTTGATAACATAAAACTTCCAATTTTTCATTTTTGTAAGTATTTTATTACATATAAAGCTTAATGCCAACCTTATATGTCTGAATAAATTACCAATTATTGTGACTGGTGGTGGAATCCCAATACTTTGTTAAGGATGCTTCTCACGGTGAAATGAATAATGAGGCAGATCTTCATTCTGTTCCATATAAAGAATCTTTACGTTCATCAATCTGACAGCATAGTTAGAAATCTTAGGCTGGGAAAGCTTGGTGCTTTATACAAAGTTATATTACCCAAATGCATTTCTACCATCCCAGAGAATGTATTCATATGTATAGTAAATAGAAACATGTAAGACTCTTACTCAGAAGATTTCCAAGTGTTAGTTGCTGTTATTGAAATATGCCATTTTCCTCCATGGTTTTTAGGTCTGTCTCCACGAGATCTTGTTCTTCAGTTTAGACACAAGGTACGATAAAAAAATGAAATGTTCATAATTATTTCCATTTCATTGAATCTTAAAGAAAAACAACACACAGTTACAGATATAAATAAACAAAAGAAAAGTTGTCTGGATCTGTGTTGCACATTGAAACGAAATTGAATATTATAAGCATAGATTCATTTATAAATATATTGCTGGACTGCTAATGTTTTTAAGATCTATCTTTTTATTTTAAAGGTTTTAATTCTTTTTAAGCTGATTCTTCTAGAAAAGAAGGTAAGATTATTCCTCTCTTTCCTAAATGACAAAATAAATGACTTGGCTAGCATTGTTTCATTAATACATTCTGGGGATGCATCGTTCTGTTATGCAGTTACCCAGCAAGGAGAGGTGTTTATTCTATATGTTTGCTGTTTACTTTTTAATGTATCCATCAGTGTTGTTTGCTATCTTACTATAAGTTATAGTTTGCTGGTGAGAGTGAATCTCTCTCTCCCTCTCTCTTCACACACACACAGACACACACTAGTGATAGGCAACCTGATGTCTTATTTGTGTTATTTATTTATTAACCAAATTTCTAGGCCACCTGACTCCAATGACTCTGAGTGGTGCAGAACATACAAAACAATGAAATCAACAATAAAACCTGATAGAGTCACCTGGAGGGAACAGCAACCAAACTCTCTCTCCCACCAGCAGAAGCATCAAGATTTGAAAAACGTTCTGACTGTTCCTTGCATTATCTTGCCTTAGCTGTAATAGCATGCAGCATTATGAAACTTTCTGACTTTTGTTTTAAACAAATACAATTATTGCAGCAATTTACATCAAAATCCCGTAATTAGAGAGTTTTAGATTATCAATTGTTGGAGCATATTTTCTAGAAGATAAATCCTTACTTTGATTTATTAATACTTTTTTAGTTTGGATACATCTTTCTCTTCAAAAAGACCCCCAATTCCAAGGCATAGGGGAAGAGCCACGTTTTTAGTGCTGTTTTAAATACTGGTACAGCAGGGGTCTTTCAAATGTTTAGCCTACAACATGTAGCCCTCTATAGGCCCTGATTGTTGGTCATGGGAATTGTAATCCGTAACAAGCCTGATCTTACACAGATGGTTAAAAATCTTCAGAAGCCTGTGGTCAGAAAATGTAAAATATATTCATTATAGGAAGTTAGCCTAGAACAGAAGAGATAAAACTATACGATGAATCTAGAAGAGATTTTCAAACCTTGACACGAGAAGCTGATTATGTTTTAAAAAGATACAATATATCCTCTGTCCATAGCTTCAGTCTTCAGTGGAACAGGATAATGTTCACAGTTATATCGAGAGCTTGCTTAGTTTGCCAAAGAAATGGGATAAACATTTATCATGTCACAAAGTAGGATGTAACGTTTTACCCAATCTTTTTTCAACAGTCACACTGGTTTAGGCCATAAAGCACATAATCTGGATTCATAAATTTTCAAGAAGTAATAACAGCACAGATTGCAAAACATTTTGTTTATTTCCAGGTTCTGTGCAGGGGATATATTAGGACATCTGTATAAAAGAAATTGCTGGAATATAAGTAAATAGCAGGTGTTCTGTAGAGCTTTTAGAACTTGATATATACTACTGTTGTTATGTTCTGAGTGTTATGACTTGGCATTGTTTATCTTGTTCCTGTCCTCCAGAATTTAACATCCACCTTTTCCCTTCTTCTTTTCAGGTTCTGTTTTATATCTCTCCAGTTAATCGGCTGGTGGGGGCACTAATGACTGTCTTATCACTATTTCCTGGTTAGTATGTGTGTATGTATGTGATCCCATGAAAATGTTATTGACTGTTCGAAAATGTTTACAATAAGAACATATTATATTCCATCACCTTAACAACCAGAATTAAATATTCCATCCTAGGTAGAATGGATAGTTTATAGAGAGACTAGTGACTCATCTTGAAATCATAGCCAGTCCTAATTTAAGTACCATATTTACTTGAAAGGAAGTCAATTCTGAATTTAAAATGACCTCCCCCCCAAAAGGAAGAATAGAGAGGAAAAATAAATGTAGACAAAAGTCCTGTGCAATGTCCAACTTCCCCACCTTGTCAGTTTAAGTTGCCAACTACATCGAAATCAGTCCTAAAGGCTTTCCCTCCCAGATACAGTGGTACCTCGGGTTACGAACGCCTCTGTTAATGAACTTTTCGGG